GCAAACAAGCGCCCCCTGTGAATTGCAGAACTCCGTGAACCAAGGGGGACTTGAACGTATACTGCGCTTTCGGGATATCCCTGAAAGCATGCCTGCTTCAGTGTCCATTATGTATATTTCCAGCTTCTGGCTTGTCCAGAAAGCTTGTGGTTCTGTGCGCCTTATCCAGAGCACTGTTCCAACAAACGCCGGGTGGATCTGGCGCGCCTGCGAGAGCTCGGCCACAGCTGTACTGTTCCCGGTTGCAGCGACGGGAGCTTCGGTTGTCTCTGCCAGCTTCGTTTCCTTTGCACCTCTGGGGGTCAGCTGAGGGGTCTGGCACCCTTTCCCCCTCGATGCCTCGTCCAGGACGTCGGATCCAGATCGTGATGAGGACTCGTGGTTTGCGGGCAAGGAAAGAGGTTTGGTCTGAGATATGCAAAAGGACTCCATCCCAAGAGATCGGAGGTGACTGCGGGGCTTGACGATATTGGCCGCCTGTGAGGCGGATACCCCTATACCTCCTCCCTCGTCCCTCCTCCGCCACCTCCTCCTCCTCCTCCCTCCTCTGACGTTGCTGAGCTGCTGTCGGACGCCCACTGGGCACCTCAACGTACCACCTCGCTGGGAGGTCCTCCATCCATCCATCCATCTCGTCCTCCCTCCTCCCTCCCTCCCTCAGCCTCCTTTCTCCATCCCTCCTCTCCTCTCTCCCTTCCCCTCTTCGAAGCTAACGTCGTCGTCGTTGTCGTCGTCGTCGTCGTCGTCGATGTCATCGTCGGCCTCGTCGTCACCATTGTCGACATGGATCCTCGTCGTCGGCATCGGCGACATCGTCACCGCGGTCCGAGGAGGAGGAGGAGGAGGAGGAGGAGAGGAGGAGGAGGAGGAGGAGGAGGAGGAGAGGGAGGGAGGCTGAGCAGCAGAAGCAGAACAACGATATAGAGAGGGCCAGAAAAAGATCTGGACACGACGCCAGCCCGCAGAGGAGGCCCTACGAGCAGCACCTGCTGCAGCCTGCGAAGAAGGCTGCGGCAGACCCCCCTCGGAGTGACCATGTCGCGGTGCTTTCCTGGTGAGCGTATCTCTCGTAGGTTTAGGTCGGGCATGTCCCCCTACAAACGGATCTTGGACGAAAAAGAAAGAATACGCAAAAAAGATTCAAAAATAGCCAACAAATATTCACAAAATCGTCACCAGACTATTTTTCCCCAATCAGAGCTTGCCTCTGTAGGGGTCCTAGCAGATTCATATGGTTAGGTGAGCTTTGCCACCGATTTCCGCGGCCCGCCCGGGTGCCCAGGTGCTGGGGTGCCCGGGTGCCCGGGTGCTCGGGTGCTCGGGTGCCCGGGCGCCCAGGTGCCTTATAGTCCTACAGCCTATAGCCATATAGCCCTATATCCCTATAGCCATATCGCCCTACAGCCTTATACCCCTATAGCCCCATGGCCCTGTATCCCTATAACCCTACCTATACGACCACCCTTCGGGTGATAAGGAGATTCGGGGGGGGAAAACCAACGTCTCACTCGATCGGTCTCATTATCGATCTCACTATCGATCTCACTATCGGTCTCGCTCGATCGATCTCACTCGATAGATCTCACAATCGATCTCACTCGATATTTTTCATTCAATCGATCTCACAATCGATCTGACTATCGATATCACAATCGATCTCACGATCGATCTCACAATCGATCTCACATTCGGTCTAACTATCGATCTCACTATCGATATCATAATCGATATCACAATCAACATCATCATCATCATCATCCTCCTCCTCATCAACATCATCGTCATCAACGTCATTAACATCATCATCATCAGCATCATCGGGACAGCATCATCATCATCATCATCATCACCTCATCACCATCATCGTCAACATCATCATCAACATCATCATCATCAGCAAATCGTCATCATCGGGACACCATCATCGTCATCAGCATCATCAACATCAACATCAACATGATGATCATCATCATCATCATCATCATCAGCATCATCATCATCATCATCATCATCATCATCATCATCATCGGGACACCATCATCAACATCGGAACACCAGCATCATCACCATCTCATCAGCAAGATCATGAACAGCATCATCAACATCACCGTCATCATCGGGACACCATCATCACCATCATTAGCAACATCATCATCATCAACATCATCATCATCATCGGAACACCATCATCATCGTCATCAACGTCATCATCATCATCAGCAGCATCATCGGGACACCACCATCATCATCATCATCATCATCAAAATCAGCATCATCACAATCATTGGGCGACCATCATCAAAATCATCATCATTACCTCATCATCATCCTCATCCTCAACATCATCATCGGAAAACCATCATCATCGTCATCATCATTATCATCATCATCGGGACACCATCATCATCATCACCATCATCGACAACAGCATCATCATCAACCTCATCATGATCATCATCATCATCATCATCATCATCATCATCATCATCATCATCATCATCATCATCATCATCATCATCGGGACATCATCATCATCATCATCATCATCTTCATCATCATCATCATCATCATCAAAACATCTGGTCATCATCAACATCATCAGGATCATCAACATCAAATCATCATCATCATCATCAACAACAGCATCATCATCAACCTCATCATGATCATCATCATCATCATCATCATCATCATCATCATCATCATCATCGTCGGGACATCATCATCGGGACATCATCATCATCATCATCATCATCATCATCATCATCATCATCATCATCATCATCATCATCATCATCATCATCGGGACACCATCATCACCACCATCACCATCACCATCATCGTCAACATCACCATCACCATCACCATCACCATCACCATCACCATCACCATCACCATCATCATCATCATCATCATCATCAACATCATCATCATCAGCATCATCATCATCATCATCGGGACACCGACGGGACACGGGCGGGACACTGGCGGGACACCGCGCGCCACTGGCCCCCGAGCGGGACACTGGCGGGACACCGCGGGGCACCGGTTGCCGGAACGGAGTCTTTTGGTCCAGCCGCGCCTCAGCTACGGGAGACTTCTTTCTCGCCCGCCCACGCAGCTTCGCCTCGCCCGCACGCACGGCACGCACGAACACGCCCTATAGCCCTATAGCCCTATAGACTCATAGCCTTATGGCCCTATATCCTATATCCCCCTAGCCCCAGAGCCCTATAGCCCTAGCCCTATAGCTCCATAGCCCTATATGCTTATAGCCCTGTAGCCCTATGGTCCTATAGCCCTGTAGCCCCATTGCCCTATAGACTCATAGCCCTATGGCCATATAGCCCTATATCCCCCTAGCCCCAGAGCCCCAGAGCCCCATAGCCCTATAGCCCTACAGCCCTATGGCCCTATGGCCCTATAGACCTATAGCCCTATAGCCCTATCGTCCTATAGACCTATAGCCTCATAACCCTATAGCCCTATAGTTCCATAGCCCTATAGCCCCATAGCCCTATAGCCTGATAGCCCTACAAAGACTTTGATTGGGGCTTTTCTCTGGTATAATTTGACTATTATTGAATATTCTCCTGTAGAGGGACAGGCCCGACCTAATCGTAGGTTGTGTCAGAAGTTGCGGCGCTGCAAGCACGAGGGCACCATGGCGCCACAGGTTGCGCCAAGCACCTGGCAGTCCACCAGATCGTCAGGTGCCTGCTCGGTGTCAGGGCTCGGCCTAAACGTTGTGTTTCGTTTTGTTTTAGTTTGTTGTTCGTTTTGATCTACCTGTTATCCTGTACCTCCCTGCCAAAACGAAAAACTGAACTCAGCCAAAGTCCAGCGAAACAGCGTTTGGGTCCAGCCCTGGCCCACCAGATCGTCGAGTGCCTGCTCGGGGTACCACCGCGCCGCTCGCTGCGCCGTGGGCTGTGCCCAGAGGCCGGCAGTCCACCAAACTGTCCGTGGCCGACTCGGTGTGCCATCGCGCCATCGGTACGCCATGCATTGCGCCAGGCACCCCGCAGTCCACCAAGTCGTCCGTTGCTTGTTGGCTCGTTCGGTGTACCGTTCAGCCGTAGGTTTATGTCGGGCATGTCCCCCTGCAGACAGATTCGACAAAAAATAGAACACAAGAAAAATGCTCCGACATAAACCAACAATAGTCAAAAAATCGTCCCCTGACTATTTTTGACTGTTTTTGAATATTCCTCCTGTAGAGGGACAGGCCCGACTTAACCGTAAGTTGCACTACAGGATGGACCAAGCACCCCACCAACAACCAATACGCCCGTTGCTCCTTCGGTGCACCGCCCCGCTCTGTGAGTTGCGACGCACGCTGCCCCAAAGATTGCGCCACGCACCCCGCACTGCACCGTGTGGCGGATTCCGGAGACCCGGAACCCAAGAATGCTGTCATCTCTTGGGGGCGCACTTCTTGGTCATCTCTTGGGACCGCATCTTTTACTTCCGCCGCCTTCCGCCGCCCTTCCGCCGGCTTCCGCCCGCGGAGGCGGCCTCGTTTCACTTCCGCCGGCCTTGCGCCGAGGAAGAGATGACAACGCCTTCGATCCTCGAAGACAAGGCCCTTGTTGGAACGCCTCGTGTCGATAATCGCTTACTGGGTGTACCATTGCGCCGTGTATTCCACATCCCCCCCCCGACCCGCGGAAGAGATGACAACGCCTTCGATCCTCGAAGGGAACGCCTAGTGTCGATACTTGCGTATTGGGTGTACCAGTGCGCCTTGTATTCCACATCCCCGACGCAGACGCGGCGCCGCCGGCGGGGGCCGCGGCACTGCGAGGAGGAGGAGGAGGAGGAGGAGGAGGAGGAGGAGGAGGAGGAGGAGGAGGAGGAGGCAAGGAGGACTGAGGACTGAGGAGGAGGAGGAGGAGGAGGAGGAGGAGGAGGAGGACTGAGGAGGAGGAGGAGGAGGAAAAGGAGGAGAAGGAGATGGGGAGGAAGAGGAAAAGGAGGAGGAGGAGGTGGAGGGTTTCGCGTGCCTGGAAGCCCGCCCGCCGTCCCAGACGCGTGCTCGCCACCAACAAGGAGCACAGGGAGGGCAGGAGCAGCCATGCACGGCGAGGCCAGACCAGAAACCACGCGCGGTGAGGATGCCGCCTCCGCCCCCTCGCCTCTTCTTCTCGCTCCTCCTCCTCCTCGCTCCTCGCTCCTCGCTCCTCGCTCCTCGCTCCTCGCTCCTCGCTCCTCGCTCCTCCTCTTCCTCCTCCTCCTCCTCCTCCTCCTCCTTTGAACGCACAAAATGGGAGCCGAAATTGAAAGCCGATGACCCCTGGCTACCAGAGCACATTGCCAAGCGCATCCCAGAGCCCAGATCACACCCGCCGGATCCTCATCTTGCCAGCTGCGCTTGCTTAATTTGGCCATGCTGGCTGATGACGACAAGACGAGATGTCCCGACAACACGTTGGACAACCCAGCGGGGAATCGGACAACCCCACCGGAGAAACCCACCTTGAACAAGCTTCCCCAGGATATTTTTCTTCCATCGGAGATCGTGAGAGGCAGGAAATGCGCCGACGGGCGAGGATGCAAGAATACCCTTGGAAATAGACCTGACCTCGACGCCCGTTGCCCGTGGCCCCTTCTTCCCGCGGGGGGAAGGGAGGACAAGTGGACGGGGGCGGGGAAGGGAGGAGGACAAGGCGCCAGGGGGGGGTTGGGGGCAGAGAGGACCAGGAGGGATCCCGTTGGCCCGCAGCTCGGCGGACAAACCTCCCTATCGTAAACCTCCCCCGGGTAAAAAACGGACTGGGACCGAAACCGACGGATCTGGACCCGCAAAAAGGACGGCCGCGACGCCCTCCCGCGAACCGAAAACTGCCACCGCGAACCGAAAACTGCCACTTCCTTCCTCGGCGCGTCAGGGCAGGAGGCCTGTCCGCCCCCGAGCAGCCCTTTCCTCCCCTCGACGGCGCCGGGGTCCGCTGTGCCGCGCCGGCTTCTCGCGGCCGCCTTCCGGCGGCAAAAAGGCCCGCCGCGCACCTCCACGGAGTGCCGCCGCGCACGCCGGCTCCGCGCGCTCCGACGGCCAGGCGCCGCCGGAAGGAGGTCGAGGGGCGGAGAGGCGCCCAGAGGCGAGCAGAGGCGGGAGGCGCCCCGAGCTCTGCGCGCCGAGACTCGGACCCCCCGCCCTGCAGGCCTCCCGGCTGGGTTCCGAAGAGATGGTGTCGGAGGACCGCGCCGCATCGCGATACCTCGGCGATGCATCGGCGATAAATCGGCGACGTCGGCGATGCGTCGGCGACGCCAGCGCGAAGGAAATCGGGCTCCACATCGAGCCGCATCACCGATGCGTCGCCGATGCGGCGCGATCCTCTGGACCCATCTGCTCCGACCCCATCTGGGAGGCTTAGACTTCTGGAGCCCTCTGGGCCTTGTGTTAGGTCGGGCATGCCCCCCTACAGGCGGATTTTTGGACGAAAAATAGAAAACAGTAAAAACATACACCAAAAATATTCAAAACTACTCCAAAAATCGTCCCCAGACTATGTGTTGACTATTTTGGAATGTTCCCCCTGTAGAGGGACAGGCCCGACTAAGCCTTGTGCAGGGTGCTCTGGAGACCATCCGGGCATCCGCGGGAAAAAGCGGGGGCAACTCTTGCAGCGGAGGCCAGTCCACAAGAGACCTTGACGTCCATGGACTTTTGGCGTGGCAACGCCACGCGTTCCATGCCAAAACCATCGGAACCCAAGACACCCAGGGCACCCTGGAGGCCAGCAGGGTGTTTCTTGGCATGGGGCTCCACCGCAGGACAAAAAGCAATACACGTAGCCCTTCGGAGGTCCGCGCGGGCTTCTTTGAAGGGGCCCCAGGACACACAAATAAATACACACAAATAAAAAGATTCCCCATATTTTCCCATATTTTCTGGGTTTCTGTCTTCCCCCCCACTTCCCATATTTTCCCATATTTTCTGGGGAATCGAGATTAAATTGTGTCTGTGTGTTTCTTTTCCTCCTGATTCTTGGATCTGCGCTGGACACCGCCCGCGCCCGGGCGCGCGGAGCGAGCCGGGGGCGGCGGTGGAGACGCCGCCAGGGTGGCCCAGCACCCGTCCAAGAGACCCGAGCGGATCGGAAGCCGGGCAAGGGCTGCTAAATCCGTGGCTGCTAAAATCGACCTCCGGGAAGTTGTCTTCGCCATTCCGGGAAAAAACACGTTGACTGTTTCGCGTGCCGCGCCTCATTCCGGGAAGTTGTTTTTTCCTTCCGGGAGGGCCGTTTTAGCAGCCACGGTTTTAGCAGCCCTCACCCAGCTTCCGAGCGGAGCTCCGGCAGCTTATGTTTTTGCGCTCGTTTCGTCGTCGAGCCCTGCGCCAGGCTCTCACCTCTGCCCCCCCCCCGCCCCGAGGAGGGAGGGCCCGTCTCGGCGGCGAGCCTCGGGGGGGGGGACGCGAGGGGGGGGGGGGAGCCTCCTGCGAAGGCGGGGGAGCGTCTGAGAGTGCAGGGGCCGTAGGTTTCTCGTTGATGGTGCGCAAGAGGCTACAGTTTCAGCTGTTCCCCCCGCGTCTAAGAAAGCAAGGCGGCCACCTCAGCAGATCCCTCGTCCACAACAACTGCCTCCTCCTCCCCCACCCTCACGCCCTCTCCTCCGTCCCTTCCCCTCTTCGACGTTGCCGTCGCCGTCGCCGTCGCCGTCGCCGTCGTCGTCGTCGCCGCCGCCGTCGTCGCCGCCGCCGCCGTCGCCGCCGTCGTCGTCGTCGTCGTTGTCGCCGTAGTCGTCATCGTGGTCGCCGTCGTGGTCGTCGTGGTCGTGGTCGTGACCGTCGTCGCCCTCGTCCCCTCGTGGTGGCGGTCGTGGTCGTGGTGTCATCGTGCCGAGGCCTTCCGACCCTTCTGAGAAGGCCCGCCCCCTCGGGCTTCCCCCCCGGGCTCGCCGCTCCTCGGCCAGGCTTCGCGGCGCGCACATCCCCGGCCTGTCGGCTGGCCTGGACCGGTGGGGGATCGAGATGTAGGCTGAATTCGGGCGTGGCCCCCCTACAGGGGGGTTATGGGCGAACCAAAATCAAAAAAGACTTCTCGAATGGACAAAAAAATGGTCCACAAGTCGTCCCCTGACTGGTTTTTGACTGTTTTTGAAGACTCCTCCAGCAGAGTAACAGGCCCGACTTACATGTAGGCCTGACGATGCTGAGCACCGGGCCGGCCAGGCCTCGTACAGCAGGGGCTCGACCACAAGAAACCTTCCACAAGAGACCCAAGCCTGAGACCCCAGCACGTCCGTCTTTTTTGTGCTCTGGGGACGTCACGCCTTCCACAGCAAAGCCATCGAAACTCAAGAGACCAAGGGCGCCCTGGAGGCAAGCAGGGTGTTTCTTGGCATGGTTTTCCGCTGTACCAGCGGGGGGGGCCTCGCTGGAGCAACAAAACAAGAATCTGACAAGAATCTGACAGCCAACAGCCGGCTCCAACGTGCGCCTGCTGGGCTGGCCCGCGCGTCCGACGGCGCCGCGGCACGCGCTGCCTCGGCCGCGCTCAAGAGCGGCCGGGTCTCGGCAGAGCATGCGGGCGCATCTCGGCAGATAGGCAGGGGGCTCGGCGCATGGGAGGAGGAAGACGTTGAGGAGGAGGAGGCGGAAGAGGAGGAATGCCAGGAATGCGAGGACGAGGAGCATGCCAGCTCCTTGGGCCCCTTGGGCGCCTCATCTTTTTCATCCTCCTCCTCCTTTTCCTCCTCCTCCTCCTTTTCCTCCTCCTCCTCCTCCTCCTCCTCCTCCTCTAACTAGTCCTCCTCTAGCTCGTCCTCCTCCTCCTCGTCTTCCTCCTCCTTCTCGTCCTCCTCCTCCTCCTACTCCTCTTGCTCCTCCTCTTGCTCCTCCTCCGCCTCCTCCTCCGCCTCCTCACTGCTGTTCTGCGCTTCCTCCGCCATGCCAGGGATGCCTTCGCACTTTCGATGCCGCTTCCAGCAGGCACCCTCGTCAGGGATGACCCCCCAACAGGTAGCCTGGGCCTGGCCCCGTCTCTCTCCTCATTTTTGTTTGTTTGTTCCCCGAGCAGCTTGCTGAACGGCGTGCTCTCGTGATATAGAAGTAGACGCCAGTCGCGGCCGAGAGAGGCCGAAGTAGAGACATCCCCCAGACAGTTAACGTGGTCTGGGCCGTTTCGCCTGAGACATCCTCGCAACTCTCCCTCGCTTCTGAGTTGGCTGGGATTGAACGTTTCGTTTGAGAAATCCTCGCAACTCTCAGCTCCGAGAGGCCGCGCGAGAGGTGGTACAGCCCGTTTCGCCTGAGACATCCTCGTAGTTCTGATTTCCGAGATGCCACGCGCGAGGAACGTTTCGCCAGAGACATCCTCGCAATTTGGGGCTCCGAGATGTTACGCGAGAGGTGGTCCGCCACGTCTACCCTGAGGCATCCTCGCAACTCTGGCCTCCGAGATGCTGCGCGCGAGGTGGTCCGGCGCGTTTCGCCGCAGAAATCCTTGCAAAACTGGTCTTCGAGGTGCCGCGCGAGAGGTGGTCAAGCGCGTTTCGCCTGAGGCATCCTCGCAATTCTTGGCTTTGAGATGCCGCACGCGGGGTGGGGCACGTTTCGCCTGAGACATCCTCGCACTTCTGATCTCTGAGATGCCGCGCGCGAGGTGGTCCAGCCCGTTTCGCTTGCGGTGCGATCCACCTGACCCATGCTCACAATTCTCAGCTCCGAGATGCCGCGCGCGAGGTGGTCCAGATCGTTTCACTTGAGACATTCTCACACTTCTGTGCTCCGAGCTGCCACGCGAGAGGTGGTCCAGCCCGTTTCGCCTAAGGCATCCTCACAACTCTGAGCTGCGCCTGAGAAGAGAGGCCGCGCCTGAGAAGATGTGCGGTAGGTGGTCCGGCGCGTTTCGCTTGAAGCATCCTTGCAACTCTGGGCTCCGACATGCTGCGCACGATGTTGTCTGGCGCGTTTCGCCTGAGACGTCCTTGCAACCCTGGGCTCCGAGAGGAAGGAGGGAGGGGTCGGTTTCGAGCGAAACATTTGAGTACATTTCTGTCGTCGAAATGTGCTATGGGAAGCATCTGGGTACCGCCTGGTCCATCCTCGCACGCCGCGCGAAGGGTGATCCAGCGCGTTTTGCCTGAGACATCCTCGCAACTCCAGGCACCAGGACGCCGCGCGCGAGGTGGTCCGGCCTGTTTCACCGCGGACATCCTCGCAACTCTAGGCTCCGAGATGCCGCGCGAGAGGTGGTCCTGCGCGTTTCGCCTGAGACATCTCCGAAACTCTGGGCTCCGAGAGGGAGGAGGGAGGAGAGAGGAGGGGTCAGACCCAAACGAACCATTTGATTACACTTCTATTGTCAAATTGTGGTCTGGCAGGGGTCTGGGCGCCGCCTGAGACATCCTCGCAGCTCTGAGCTCCCAAATGTCGCGCGCGAGGTGGTCCAGCCCGTGTCGCCTCGGACATCCTCCGCAACTCTGGGTTCCGAGATGCGGTGCGAGAAGGGGTCCGGCCTGTTTCGCACGAGACATCCTCGCAACTCTGGGCTCCGACAAGCTGCGCGCGAGGTAGTCTGGTCCTTTCGCTCGACGGGCGGCCCTTCGCATGCTCACCACGGAGCCCCAGCGAGGCCCGGCTCCTCCGACTCCACCCCCACCCAAGTTCGGGTGTTGCTGGAAGTGCCCCTGGCCCAAGGTGCCCCCAGGATGTCCAAGGAGGCCCCTACGGCCTCCGGGGCACCCCTCACGAGGCCCAGAGGGCCCCGGGGACTCCAAAATGGAGTGAGAAGCTGAGGGCACCTTGGGCCAGGGGCACCTCTAGCATTGTGGATGCCACGACAATGGACACCCTAACAGTCCTATCATTGAGTTTAACATGTGTTTAAAATGTCGGAAACATGTTCTAAACATGTTTCTAACATGTTGTTTCTCATGTTTAAAACATGTTTGGAACATCCTTGAGACATCTGGAAATGATTCGGCAACAGGCTTCATAATATCCACGGATCGACCTCCACGACTCTGGCAACCCCAGACAAGTGCGACCCACTCTCTCGGCGAAGGACTCCACGAATGGTGTGAGTGCCGCGCTGCGGGCGCGGCGGCAGAACTCAAGCGCGACTCGAGTGCGCAGTGGAGCTGCTGCTCTTCGCCGCTGGGGGCCACACACCTGGACCGTCACTTTTGCAAGGGCCCTGGGACACGCAACTAAACAACTGGACACAAGTGACGGGATTCCCCCCTAGTTTCCCACATCTTATGGGCTTCTGCCTCCCCCCCCCCACTTCCCCACACGTTCCCATCTTTTCCTGGGGAGCGACGACGAACTGGGTCTGTGTGTTTTCCCCCTTCATGAACTGCCTCTTCTCTTTCGAGGTGCCGTGCGCCCGAGGGCCGCCCCGAGCGTGAGGCACGCAGGGGGCCGCGCTGGGGACCTGGACGAGCACGACCACTCCGGACTCTAGCCGCAGGGGCTTTTTTTTGCGTCGGCGCGACTTGGGGGGAGGAGGAGGAGGAGGAGGAGGAGGAGGAGGAGGAGGAGGAGGAGGAGGAGGAGGAGGAGGAGGAGGCGGTGGAGGCGGAGGAGGAGAAATGAGAGCAACGAGCGCCAGGAATCAGATGAAGTCGCCTGTCCTCAGCGTTGGTGGTGGGGCTGCCCCATGGAAACACCAACGGCAACACTGGAGAGGAGGGAGGAAGGGGGGAGGAGGAGGAGGGAGAGGGGAGGAGGGAGGAGGAGGAAGGAGCAAGAAGGGAGGAGGGAGGAGGGAGGAGGAGCAGGAGCAGAAGGAGGAGGAAGAGGGAAGGAGGGAAGGAGGGAGCAAGAAGGAGGGAGGAGGAAGGAGCAGGAGGAGCGGTGGAGGGGCGGTGGAGGAACGGTCGCGCTGGCAAGAGCAGCAGCCGGAGCGGCAGCAAGATGAGGAGGAGGAGGAGGAGCAGGAGGAGGAGGAGGAGGAGGAGGAGGAGGAGGAGGAGCAGGAGGGGGAGGCGGCGAGGGAAGCGCGGCCGTTCCCGGCGAGGGCTCGAGGCCGCTCAGAGCCGGTCCAAAGTGCGGCGCGCCCGGGCTTCAAACAGGCGCGCGGGCCGCCGCCCCGCATAGCGCACCTTGGCGCGGGGGCTCGGCGGCCGGGCGCGAGCGCCGCGGCGGCGCGGCCGAGGCTGTGCCGGGGCCCGCCCCCTCCCGGGCGAGCGCTCCGGCGGGCGCGGCCCCGCGGCCGAAGGGGGCCGCGGCCGAGGAGAGCCGCGGCGGCCTCCGGCCGAGGCCGCGCTGTCCACGGGGCCGCCCCTCGTCGCGAGGGCCGCGCGCGGGCAGTCGCCGGGCCTCATGGCGCGCCTCCGAGAGGAGGGGCCCTCTGGGGCGGGCCTCCCGGCGGCGCCCAGAGGCCTCCGTGGGTCGGCTACGCGGCAGAGTGGCCCTGGGCCAAGGAGACCCTCCAGTGGTGCGCGGCGCCCAGTGCTGTGAGGATGCCTCGGGGAAAGAGCAAACTGCAGACACAGAAACTTTCGGAGGGACCAACGCTCTGAACCCCGCGCGCCAGACTATTGTCCCCGCTGTCCCCACGAGTGCCCCCCCAGTGTCTCACTGTTCCCACTCTCCCCACCATTTTCCCACCACGGTCCCACTCCCCCCACTTTCCGCATGGTCCCCACCACTGTCCCACTGTCCCCACTGTACCCACCACTGTCCCACTGTCCCCACCGCTATCCCACTGTGCTGTCCCACCGTCCCCACTGTCCCCATCACTGTCCCAGTGTCCCCACTGTCCCCATCACTTTCCCCACTGTACTACTGTCCCACCACTGTCCTCACCACCGCCTTCACCACTGTCCCCGCCACTACCGTCCCCACCACTGTCCCACTGTCCCCACCCACTGTCCCGCTGTCCCCTCATCACTGTCCCCACCACCACCGTCCCTACCACTGGCCGCACCACTGTCCCACTGTCCCCGCACCACTGTCCCCACCACTACCGTTCCCACTGTCCTAGCATCCCCACCATTGTCCAACTGTCCCCGAGGAGCGGGGATCGTCTGCCCGCGGCGAACGGGGGGGTTCGAACGGGTAGTAACCCCCCCCTGTTTTCGAGGGGGGGGTCGAACCGGTAGTGACCCCCTCCCATTCATGATGGACTGGGGGGGGTTCGAACCGGTAGTGACCCCCCCCCGGTTTTCGGGGGGGGGGACGGGTTGGGAACCCCCAGTGACTCCCCCCGGTTTTCCGCCAGCAGCGGTAAAATATCTATACCCAGAGGCCCCGGGGGGCGAGCGAAGGCCCGGCACACACACAATACCCTCCCTGGGGCGTGGCTTCTGCATTCGGAGCGTGGCCCCAGGCTGCGGAATCAGACTGGCGCGGGGAGAGTGTGGTGTGCAACAAAAATCTTGAGGATGTGCGCCCGAGCCAGAGGCAGAGGCCTCTTAGATGAGGTCCGAGGATCTCCGCGCATCGCCGATGCATCGCCGATGTATCAACGGTGCATCGGCGATGCACTGGCGACGTCGGCGATGCGTCAGCGACCTCCGCGTGGAGAAAATCGGGCTCCGCATCGAGCCGCATCGCCGCTGCATCCACGATACGGCTCGATCCTCCGACCCTAACTATTCGGACCTCATCCGAGAGGCCTGGAGCCTAGAGAAAAGGATGAGAGGAGGAGGAGGAGGAGGAGGAGGAGGAGGAGGAGGAGGAGGAGGAGGAGGAGGAGGAGGAGGAGGAGGAGGAGGAGGAGGAGGACGACGAGGACGAGGAGGAGGAGGAGGAGGACGAGGAGGAAGGAGGAGGAGGAGGGAGGAGGACGAGGAGGACGGGGAGGAGGAGGCTGTTGGGGACGGGCCTGAAGCTAGAACAGCATCGACGGTCAGCCGAAGTCGGAGGCCTCCGAGTCTGACTCGATCTCGTTGCGCGAGGCTCGGAGGGGGGCGGCCCCGAGGTCCTTTTGCCCAGGGTAAATCCGACTCTTCAAGGCCGAACACATCCAAAACCTGCTCTCGCGGGGCGAACCCCCCCGCGAAGTGGCACGAGGCAGGACCTGAACCTCCCTGGGGGCCTGGCCATCCTCTTCTGAGCCAAAACCCTACGCTCGGCGAGGCTAAGGCCCTCGTGGGCCCCCAAAAACAAATTCTTCAGGTCCTTCTTAAAAGACGGGCACCTACCTAGCCGAATCCTTCTCAGCTGGTCATTAATTCCGCCTGTTGACGTTTTAGGCCTACACGGGCCTTTTGCTCCTGCATTGGGAGCCCCAGAGAAAAACGATCCACGCCTGCAACAAAACTGGATTTTGTTTCTGGGGTCCCGAGGGGTTCAAAAACTGGGCCGGCCAAGAACGCGTGGCCGTTCGCCCTAAAAACTTGCCGAGAGACCCAAGTCCACCGAACCTCTACCCTCCCGTTGATCATCGGCCAGGGCCTGGCCTTCAGCAGCTTCCTCATGTTGGGGCTGCTGCCGAGGGCCATCACTGCCTGCCGAACGCCGCGCAAGGCCTGTCGTGTCACGGGGCCCTCCAGACATGGTGACCTCGACACCCCCCGCCCACCTGAACGCTTCGCGGGCGAGGCACCGAAGGCCCCTGCACACATTGGCCTCATCGTCGCTGACTCCGTGACACTCGGCCCCTAATTTCGCGAACACATCTGCGTGCCCGCTGGCCCGTCTTTCCCACTCTGTGCTTCTGCCCGCCTCAACGTCGGTGGCAGTCGCATGGCCTAAAGTCTTGTGGCGCTCGAACTCGCTGAGAGCGAAAGCGCACCGCGCTGGTCACCAAAAGGTGGCCACGAGGGGGCCCAGGGCCCTCAGAGAACCCAGGCCCACGGGCCAGCGAGTCCAAAGTGCTCTGCCAATCGATATAACGCTGAAGCGGGGGAAGACTTACTTGCGTCAGCATATGTGCAGCATAGTCTGCCCCGTCCTTGCTTGTCTGCTGCGGGGCCGCGCTCATGGGTACTGGGCCGCGCGCCGCCGATGGCAAGTTCCCGAACCTGTCAACCGAGACAGTGCTCCAACCTGCCCTGGTGAGCCCGTCGAGGCCCATGTACTTCCCCGACACGTCCAAGAAGAGCAACCCTGAGAGAAGGCCCGTCTCGGGCCGCTGGTGTCAGTGGACTGTCTGAGCGGGCTCCACAAGGTCGAACAGGGACCTGGGATGAGGGAAGATGCACCTCGCGAGCCTCTCCACCATCAGCGGGTCTAGCTGCTTTACTTTCTGCGCACAACCACGCGCGCGAGCGCTCGCAAGGTCGAGGCGCTGAACGGCATGAGCTGGGCACTCGTACTGACGGTGCCATAGAGTGCCTGGCGCCTCCCTGCACAACTGACAAAGCTCATCATCGTGAAGGTTGTGAGCAAACAGTCGTGCTCGAGGCCAAGGAACTCCCGAAACCAGTCCTCTAAGACACCTCTGATGATGCTTGCCCCAGACCTCCAACTTCCCCCTGCACATCCTGGCGGTCCCGTCCCAGAAGATGGGGTAGACTGCAGGCCCATCGAGGCGTTCTGCAAGTAGAGCGCATGCCAACCGGAAGCTCGAACCGCCCCCTGCCTGACCAGAGTCCTGACTTGCATCGGGGACTGTCTGAACAGATCATGCACCACATTCAAGTCATCTCTGATGCTGTGCCGGTCAACGAAGTCCCAGCCTAACCCTCGAAGAGTCAAGAAGGCAACATCACCAGGAGAAGCAGCCGACCTCCAAGGCTGGGCCGAATTCTGGAGCTCATCAATCGAGGCCCGCATCGTGCTGGCCAAGACCTGGAAGTGAGGGACCGCCTCCGATACAGCTGGTCCACGTGAAAATGACGTGCCCCGCGTGAAGCACCAGGGGGTCCACCAAGGACCCGAGCCCGTACGTGTACATTCTGAGCCCAACCGAAGCACCGGTGGGGAGCCTGCCGAGGGAGCTAGCCGCGCCAATACGGAGGCCAGCCGCCTTGGAAGGAGCCGCCCCTGAGACCGAAGAACCCCCGAGGGCCGACGCCACGGGCCCCATCCTGTGAACCACCCCGATGTCCGCCAAAGCTCCTCGAAGCATCTTTAACCTCCTGGCCCGAGACGACGCCGCGGAAGACCTGGCATTCTGGGTCCCGACCCTTCGGAGGCCTCCCAGGGTTGCATTTGTGCCAAAGTTCCTCGTGTTATCCGTCCTGCGCGAGGAGGGCAGGGTCCAGGCCTGGGACAGGCGTTTCTCAACCTCGTTTGAGCAGAGGTAGGCGCGCTGCTTAAACTCCACAGGCAGCTGCAGCTGCTATAAGCTCTTGGAAAGAAACTCAACTCCACCAGCTAACTGAGCAGCAACCTGGATCCTGGGCCCACAACTCTGCACTGATGTCGTCAACCACGCTGCGCACATACAACAGATTTCTGTTCTCGAGCATCCCAAATCGGCCCTGGCAGCAGCATCTTCGCAAAGGTCGTGGCTCCCGAACAGCCGGCGAAGACAGCACCGTCCGACTCGCCGACGGCCGAAGCAGCACCCCCATAGAGCAGCGCACGGAAGCCAGCGTAAATGGCGCAGTACCCTCTGAACAAACGCACTGGGAAGCCGAAACGTCTGGCTGCTACAAGAAGGTGCTCGTGGTTAACATCCTCATGGGATTTAGCCAGGTCAAGGAGCGCCGAGGCCGCTTCGAAACCAATTGTCCGACAATGGGCCCCGAGCAAGGCGTGGACCCAACCAGCCCGCTCGCAGGTCGCGTCTGGCCCCGAGCCCCGGAAAACAAAAGCAAACCATAATAATAAGAACCACAACAAAAACTCGAACGCGTGGGACTTATCCCATGCGCGGCAATATGGCTGCCTCAATCGGCCCCGAAGCTTCATGAAGGAACGCAGAAGCCCAATAGGCCTGACCCCGCCCGTCGGTTTGTCCAGGAAAATCACGCTGGTCAGAAACATGATGAAAGCCCCAGGGTCGAATTCGAAGAGCGTCAGTATAAAATCTCCCAGGAGCGAAACTGGTGACTTTCTGGAAGCTGCAGCGCCCACCGCGGATGAAAGCCGTCCCGCCCAAGGCCCGCCGACGGCCCATATGTCATACATACGCGGTGTAAGTCTTCCAATCTGAGCGGGGAACGGTCAGGCTCGTCGGCTGGGACCTCCCAGGTGCCGGGGCCGGGTCCAAGTCCAGCCCGAAATCACATGGGGCGCCGCGCATCTGGAAGCTGCCGAAGCGCGGCCTGACCAGCCACAGGTAGCCGAGGATCGTCAACGATACCTCTCGGGCAGACGCTCGTGACCTGGCGCTTGACGAAGGCGCGAGCGGCTTTACCCCCATCCAGTTGCAACTTTCTTGGCCCGCTCTTTCGATTTCGCCGGTTGCGGGGCCGAGCCCAACCGCTGGCGACGTGTACATTCCTTGCGGATGCTTTCGTGGATCCCCGTATCCCAAGGGCCCGTTCCAGAGGCAGCCAGGATCATAGTCAGCAGTTGGGCCTTGGTGGGCCCCTCGTCGATCAGCTCCAAATCGTCGAGGATGTTAAGCAACTTGAGCTCCCAGGACCCCAGCAACTCTCTTCCCTTGGCCCCTGGGTTCCCCAAGCTGATAGCTCTGGCCTTCCTGAGCAAGGCCTCGAACGAGATCCAGCAGACCGTCTGCCTCGAACAACGTCGGCGGTGATCCCTCTCCAAGAGAGCTGCCAGAGGAACTTTGCGAGTCTGGGGCCCAGCGGAGCGACCAACATACCCTTTTGGATCACTGATCCCGTGGATTCCAACTAACCGAGCCTCAGCCTCGCTGAACTACTCCCGAGTCAAGGCGTCCAGGTCGTCATCTAAAGGGCCACTCCATTGGACATCCCGCGCCTGCAGCGAGACCACTGCGGCCTGGCAGAGGTTCCCCATCCGAAGCAGCACAGGACAATGGGGAAAAAGAGGCGCTCCTTTGACAACCTGGATGTCTTTCGCACAAGAGCGGATGACTGGCGAAACGACGAAGAAGTCTAACTCCCGACCTCCAACATCATGCCCCGTCAACTCCTCCTCCATCGCTTGACCCGAGGCAGTCCTAGGAGCGCAGGCAAAGCAGGCAAAGCAAATGGGCTGGTCGGGCACTGCAGCTGCGCCGCGCACGCGCTGAACCAGCCTGAGAGAGACAGGGCCGTGGGCGTGAAGTTCCAATCAGCTCGGACGATCCACGGCCTCCCGCTGCCTAGGAGAATCGCGCCCAACGCTTCCAAAATCTCTAAGTTATCACCAGCGACGCCTAAGTCGTTGATCAAGTAAACACTGTAGATGTCTAGGCCCTCGTCGAACCCAACGTTGACGACCCGACCGACGATCCCCCCGTCATGCTTGCCTAATCCTGAGAGCTCAAAGGGCTTCGGGGCGATCTCCACCGCGACCGAGACCCCCGCTCCCCCTGAACTCTGAAGGGGCCCACCTCCTGCACAGATAGCTTTCCCCAGAGATATATGATGCCCATTCCTGCGGGCCCACCCTTGGGCCGATATGACCTTGTCGGGGGCCTTTAGCCGAAGTCTCCTGAAGGGTGACCACCTGGAACTCATTCTGAACGAGGCCCCAAAAGAGCAACTTCTGGTTCTCCAGCTTCGGCCCTATCTCGGACCCAATTCACTGCAGTGTCTGCCGTCGACCAGCTGTTGACGCTGGCGCCTACGATGCGCAAATCAGCAGAGCCCTGAGCTACACCAGAGTCACATTCGTCTGCAAGAAGATTGCGATCCGGAGGCCCAGGCCCCCTCCTGTCGGATCCTGACCAACGTATTTTCGAATCCGCGTCACGCGCATAGCGGGGGAGAGGGCGAGCTGCTCGGGCAACTTCGACGACCCCAGGGACCTGCGCCCAGCAAGCGCCCTGCCCTTCCCCCCCCGCGCACTGGCGCCCCCGCCCCCCGTGGAAGGGGTGCCCTGGAAGGGGGGGCTGACTGGGGGCGACGTTAAACGTGGGCATCCCTCGGGATCCCTGGATTTGCTTTCGAACGCCAACGGACTCCCAAGACGGCAATGGACCCGAAGAAGAGGAAGTATCAGCCGTCCTCGAGGCAGCCGACGAAGGCCCAACCGCCGAGGTCGAACCAGTAGACGACCCTATCTGGCTTGCCCATGTCCCCAGCCCAGGGGAGACGCACCCCTGGCCAGCTGGGGCAAGACTGGAAGACGCCGCCGTCGCACTGCTCGCACTCGAACTCGAAGCGCATGCGGGCACGAGGGTCTGACGAATGGGTTCAGAATCCCCTTCCCTCCTGCCCTTCGGGCCTGCGCCCCGCTGCTTCGGCAGCTGCCCAGAAGGCCCCAGAGCAGGCCAAGCCCGAGGGTCAAGAGCACCTCCAGCGCGGGTGTGGGCCAAGCCCCCACGCCGCCAAATCGGCTCATCCAGCGCCCCCGAACGGGCCTGGGAAGGCCTCTGGAGAAGGGCAGACACAGCGAAGCCGAGCGCATCTGCCCAGTCAGCGTCCACGACGTTGTAGCTCCAGAACCGATCGAGCTTGTCGTCGAAGACGCCGTGCTCGCTTGTTCCCGATACCGGAGGCAGCTTGGGCGTATGTGCGCTTGGCAGCCTCCTGAGCCTCGCCTGGGGCGGCGGCCCTAAGTTCTTCTCCAGCCTTACGAAGCTCCTCGGTCCGCTGCTCAAGGCCACCTGCTCGCAGCAACTCCACGTCGATGTCGTCGCTGTCGCCGTCGGTGGCGGGGAGCCCAACAGCGCCTGCAGCTGCACTGCCGCCAGGCTGGCCACCACAATCAGCAGCGCCAGGTGAAGGCCCTTGAGCCACACGAGCGGCCACTGCAGCCTTCTGGCGCTTGTCGAGCGTCTTTGACTTCGGGGTCTGCATGGAGAGACTCATCCAAGGCAGCCTGAATAATATTGACCAGGTCGTTGATGTCGGAGGCGTGCACCTTGGAGAAGACAGCTTCTGCCTGGGCCAAATCGTGACAGACTGACTCAACCGAAGCCGTAATGGCTGCTTCTTCATCATCGACGGCAGCACGACACTCCTGGAGCTTCCGTTACTGCTGCAGGAACTTCTCATTCGTTTTGCGCATGTTCTCAACCCTCCAGCGCGCCGTGACAACCGACGGAGGGTGTTCAACAACTTCACGCTGCTGAGCGGCCGTGGCGGAGGAGGCCACCAGCTCGCCTTGGCTTACAGAAGGCCCAGGACCTCCTTGTAGGACAGGCCGCCTCCGCAGTCGCCGCCGGCTGCTGCTGCGCAAGCTGCTTGTCCTTGTCATCCTTGTCCTTGCCTTGGAGGAGGGAATCCAGCTGCTTTTGCAAGGCGGCGAAGGCCTTGGCGTGGGCGTCGCCTGGCCCGCCTGCCGGGCCATTGGCCGAGCGGCCCTTCCCTCCATTGCCAGTGGCTCCTCCTTTGCCGCCCCCTTTCGCGCGATAGGCGGCGGCTTGAGCAGCCACGAGCACGCGCTGAGGGCAGGTATTTCCACATCCACGGCACTTGACTCTGATGGCCCAATTGTCAAATGTCCTACATTTGCCACACACCCAGAGGGGGAGATGCGGCCCTGGAAACACATCGGGCCCCATCCACGACCGCGAAAGCAGTGGACAGGGGAAAGCTTGGCTCGCGAACGCGGAGCCTCTCTGAAGTACGCGTCCGCAACTCTCAAAACGCTTGAGAACAGAGGGGTTGCTTGAGCCAAAATGGCAGGAGGAGGAGGAGGAGGAGGAGGAGGAGGGGGAGGAGGAGGAGGAGGAGGAGGAGGAGGAGGAGGAGGAGGAGGAGGAGGAGGAGGAGGAGGAGGAGGAGGACGTTTTGGGGGGAGGAGGATCACTCGCGGCGAAGGGCCGCTCTCACGTCTTGTGCGTAGCCGCTCGCGGCGCTCCGCGCCCCCCGCTCTTGAGCAAAGGGGGCGGGCCGTCGCCTCGCCGCCCCTGCGGCCCGCCGGTCTCCGGGGAGGGGCAGGCGGCGGCTTCGGCTCCGCCCTCAGAGCGCGCTCGAAGTCCGCGCGCCACGCGCGCCCGAGGCCCATCGCCTGTGGGCGGCGCCGCGCAGGTCCAAAACCGAGGCGCTGAAAAACCTGCCGCCCGGCGGGTCGGTGTGGCTGGCCTGCAGGCGCTCCTCCGCGCGGGGCGGGGGCTATGGACCTGGTGCCCCAGCGGGCGGTGGGTGTGTATCCATTCAAAAAAATTCGAAAGACACCTTAGTGGCCCCGGCCCCCCCCCCGAGAGCCCCCAAACGGCCCTAAACGGCTCCCAAACACTTCTTAGTGGCCCCGGGCCCCCAGAGAGCTTCCAAACGGCCCCAGAACACTTCAGACGAGCCTGCCCGCGGCCACCCGAGGTCCCGGTCCTGCCCAAGACGGCCTTCACACGGCCCAAGATGCCTCCCAAATTGCGCCCCATCACACAAAAATCGTAGCATTCCCCTCGTAAAATTGATACTTTCTGCACATTATCTTTTTCCGTTCACGACGCGCCCACGACGGCCCCAGAGGCTTCCGACACCGTCCCAAGACGGCCCGAGACGTCCCCAACAGGGCTCCAAGATGGTTCCTGACTGCCCCAGGACGGCCCAAGAGGGGCCAAAGACGGCCCAACAGGACCCCAAGAGGGGCCAAAGACAGCCCACCATGGTCCCAAGAGACCCCCAGACGGCCCAAGAGGCGCCCAAGGCGGCCCCGCGAAGGCCCAAGAGAGCCCCAAGAGTGCCGCAAGAGGCCCCCGAAGGGGCCCAAAAAAGCTCCCCAGCGACTCCCCGACGGCCCGCCTCGCTGGATTCGGCGCCTTCGGTGGGAGAACATCTCCAGAACCAGCTTCAAAGGATCGGGTGCAGTAGGTGAAAGCGTCGTACTACCCAGCGCGCGCCACAAAACTTCGATCCGCTCAACTCCGTGGATATTATCCACAGGTCCACACTAGTAGATATGTGTATATACATATATATATATATATATATATACTTTGGCCCCCGGGGGCCCGAGCATAGCCACATCCAACGCCCGTGGAGGTCCGCGAAGATCGATCCCCCAGGTGGCGGGCATGGGCAAGGCACCGCCGCGGACTCCACCCCTCCCACCGCTCCCTCTTGCCCTGAGGGGCAACGATAGGGGGGGACTGGCATGGGGGAGATGCATCGAGCTGGAATCGGCGATACATCTCCGATATATCGGCGATGGGCCCCTGATAGTGAATCCGCACCTTCATGGGCAGGTCGGGGCTATCGGGCCCCTATCGGCGATCAATGGGCGATTGCGTGTCGATGCATCCCCCCAATGTCGATCCCCCCCCATCGTTGCCCCTGATGCCCTCTGGCCCCGATCTTTGGGATCTGCCGAGCCGGATCCATGCAAACCCGGGCCAGGAAGGCGCAGCAAGATCCTGCAAGATCCTACAGGATCCTGACGGATTCAGGAAGAGGAAGAGGAGGAGGAGGAGGAGGAGGTGGAGGAGGAGGAGGAGGAGCAGGAAGAGGAAGAGGAGGAGGAGGAGGAGGAGGAGGAGGAGGAGGAGGAGGAGGAGGAGGAGGAGGAGCAGGAGGATGCACGCACGCCCAGGCCGGTGCACCCCTGGCTCTGCAGGACCCTGCAAGACCTGGCGATGAGGCTGACCTCCGTTTGCACTGACCCCCGCCTCTTGAGCCTGGGCCGCCGCGCCCGCCTCCCCGGCGGCCCCGATCCTCCCCCTCTCCACCTCCGGCCCTCTCCCGCGACCCCCCCCCTTGCTGCATCTTGCTGCTGCTCGCTCTGCTCGTCCCCCCTCTGCCCTCGCCCTCCTGTCGCTCCTCCTGCTGCTTCGAGCCTCGATGCCCTCGAGGACCCTCCTCCCAGCCGGCGCTGGGGGAGAGCAGATGAATAACAATAGGAAAGAAGTGGGAGGAGAAGGATCCTACTCCTCTCCTCCTCCTCCTCCTCCTCCTTCTTCTTCTTCTTCTTCTTCTTATTATTATCATTCTTATTATTATTATTCCTCTTGCTCTTGTTATTACTATTACTACTATTATTCCTCCTCCTCCTCCTCCTCCTCCTCCTCCTCCTCCTCCTCCTCCTCCTGTACATCGTCAATTCGGCCCGCCCGCCTCTGCAGGAAGCCTCAAGAAGGCGCGCCCTCCTGCTGCGTGACCCCGCGCCTGGCCATCCGCATCGGCTTCCAGCCGACCGGGACAAAGCACAGGCCCGGAGGAGACGCGCAGGCCGGGAGAAGCCGCCGCGAGGGGCACGGCCGCGAGGGGGGGGGGCACTCGAGGCCCGAGGGGGTGACCGAGGACCGAGGATGATTACACGTCGGTCGGGGGAGGAGGAGGAGGAGGAGGAGGAGGAGGAGGAGGAGGAGGGGGAGGAGGAGGAGGAGGAGGAGGAGGAGAAGGAGGAGGTGGATTACACGTCGGCCAGGGTGACCGAGGACCGAAGATGGTTACTCGTCGGTCGGAAGAAGTACACGCCGGTCGGAAGAAGTGGACAGAGACACGAAGCAGGAAGGTGCTGGAAGCAGATTGGGCTTCCGCCCGCCCCCAAAGGAGGAGAGAAGAGGGGAACCAGTCGATGCTTGAAGTAGGAAGGCGCCAAAAGAAGATTGGGATCTGGGATCTGCGAAAATACCTACGTTCAACGACCGGCGTGTAAATATTGTCCTGGCGAAGGGCCCAACCATATACAGTTGTGGGTACAGTCGGCCCGTATCATAAGGATGCGCGATGAGGATGAAGGGGCCTTAGGCGCCCATGTCGAAGCTTCTCGAGCGGGGCGCGGCCAACGAAAGTGGCCAAGGATGGCCAAGGAGGCAAGAATACCCTTGGGAAGGTTGCCCATCCTTACTATGCGGGTTGACTGTATCGCCGTTGTGGATATCGCTTTGGTGGATCTTCTTATGGGGCCGCGGAGCGTGTAAATGGTGTGCCTAACTGGTGCGGGGACGAGTGCAGGCGCAGCCATTGGGGCCTTCGGTGGCGCTCCGTATGGGGCCACGAAACGTGTGAAGGTCTGCCGAAATGGAGCGGGGCCGCCATGCAAACGTCGCCACTGGGGCCTTCGGTGGCGCTCCATATGGAGCCACGAAACGTATGAAGGTCTGCCGAAATGGAGCGGGGCCGCCATGCCAACGTCGCCACTGGGGCCTTCGGTGGCGCTCCCCATGGAGCCACGAAACGCGTGAGGGGTGTGCCGAAATGAGTGGGGAAAACGCATGTGATCACAGCCACTGGGGCCTTCGGTGGAGCTCCCCATGGGGCCACGAAACGCCGTACTGGGTGGGGACGCATGTGATCACAGCCACTGGGGCCTTCGGTGGAGCTCCCGATGGGGCCACGAAGCGCCGTACTGGGTGGGGCGCATGTGATCACAGCCACTGGGGCCTTCGGTGGAGCTCCCGATGGGGCCACGAAGCGCCGTACTGGGTGGCGCGAGACGCATATGATCACAGCCACTGGAGCCGTCGGTGGAGCTCCTTGTGGGACCACGAACCGCTGTACTGGATGCGCTGGAGTGGTGGACAGGCGGAGAGCAGAGGCAGAGGCAGGGATGGGAGGAGGGGGAGGAAGGAGGGGAGAGGAGAGGAGACGCGGGGCGCTGTCTCTTCAAAACGAGGACCCAACACACAGAATGCATGAAGTAGGAAGGCGGATAAAGTAGATTGGGTTCAGGCTCTCCCAGCGAAATAAACCACAGCAAAGGCATAGCAGTCCTCGAAGCAGGAGGGCGCTTGAAGCATACTGGGATCTGGGGATCCACAGAAAATCTTTACTTTCCATGACCGTCCGGCGTGTACGCGTGCCTTCTTATCACGCCTTCGACCCCTTTGCTTGTGGATGCCACGACAATGGACACACGAACAATCCCATCATCGAGCTTAACATGTGTTTGAAGTGTCGGAACAATGTGCTAAGCATGTTTCAAACATGTTTTTAAACATGAAAACATGTTTGAAACATCTTCTAGACATCTGGAGAGTATATCACAGCATGCTTCCTCTCCGTTCATCAACTTCCGCAACCCCCGGCCGCCTGCGGGGTCCTCGGGAGGCCCCTGCGGCCCCCCGGAAGCCTCCGAAAGGCCTCCCGAGAGCAACGTGCGGCATCGCCATACGCTTTGGTCCGTCGGCGGCGGGGCAGAGGCCGTCCGCTCCAGCGCGCGGCGACTCATACGTCGGGCATGTCCCTCTACAGTTGTGGACGCCATGACAATGGACACTCTAACAGTCCTACCATTGAGTTAAGCATGTGTCTAACATGTGTAAGCCATGTTCTACAAATGCTGCAAGCATGTCTTTAACATATCTAAACCATGTTTGAAACATGTTTAGACATCTGGAATTTGTTTGGCAGCATTATTCCTCTCCATTAATCGACTTCCACAACCCTACAGGAGGAATGTTCAAACGTAGTCAAGAAATAGTCTGGGGACGATCTTCTGGTTCGTATTGTTTGGCTATGTTGGTGCATTCGTGGAGTATGTTTGATTGTCTCGCCCAAATCCGCCTGTATGGGGACAGGCCCAACCTAAGAAAGAGCCGAACTCTACACACCGACGCTTTTTCCGGCCCCGCACTGAAACTCGCACAGGAAAGCGGATCCTGGTGCATGCGGGATCCTGGCCTACATTTTTCGTCGCTTCCCTGGGAAAGCGGAGAAGACGTAGCACCACAACACCCCGATGTCGTCCCCGACCCTAAAATTGTGTTGTTCCCATCGTGCTTAAAGACCACATCCCAGAGATGATTTCGAGCACCTGGAAGAATGTCGACAAGAATGTCGAAACAGTGTCGGACGAGTGTCTCCCACGGCCCGACACGTGCAAACCCTCCGATTCCGGCATTTTCCTGGCGATCGAACTTCTTCCTGGCGATCGAGGCCAAGGTAGGCTGGAACATCATAACCCTAATACACAAAACCTGGGATTGAACCACAGCCCGCCACTGGTGACGTAGATGCTCCAGATTCCGACCTACACCTTGCGAAATGCTTAAGAAATCATGGGTTAAGAAATTCATAGTCTCAGAACTTGAATAAACAACCGAAATTTCTATTGAAATCTTAGGATTTACATTGAAACGTTAAGAATAATCGAGACTCTGGCCGAAAACTTGAGTTTTCTTAAGCATCGCCTAAGGTGTACGGCCACTCGGGGCGACCGACAGGCGAGCTGTCCAGCGAACTGCTCGGCGCGCGGAGCGCGCCAGGGGGCGCCCCGCGCCGATCTCTCCGCCCGCGCAAGAC